CTTAACAAAAACCAGACGAAAACAAAACAACGACAAGACTCCGCATTTATTGTAAAGAGGCTACTTTTTTGTTTTTTTTTTTTTTGAGGACAGAGTCTCACTTGTTGCCCAGGCTAGAGTGAGTGCCGTGCGGCTAGCTCACAGCCACCTCAACTCCTGGCTCAAGCCGATTCTCCTGCCGTCAGTCTCGTTGAGTATGGGTACTCGCATGGCACCGCACCATTGCCCGGCGCTAGATTTTGGCTCTCCGTCTATTATTTTTAGTTTTTTTTTAGGTTGGCCAATTAATTCTTTCTAGTTTTAGAACGAGATGGGCTCTGTATGCTCAGGGCGGTATTGACCCTCTGAGCGTACCACACGATCCACCACCTCAGCCTCCCAGCGGTACTAGGATTAGCAGGTGTGAGCCACAGGTCTCACTCTGTCTCCCAGGCTGGAGTGCAGTGATATGATCATAGTTCCCTGTAGCCTCAAACTCCTGGGCTCAAGGGATCCTCCCACCTCAGTCTCCCGAATAGCTGAGATTACAGGCGAGAGACACATTGCCTAGTTCCTACAGATGGAGATTTATGATTGACAAAATCCAGGCTTAGAGAGATTAAATAATGTGTCCTAAATTGGTATAATCAGATTTGATCTCAGATCTGTCCCAACATATGATTTCATTCAGTCATTTATTCATTGCTTATCTACTTATATTGAACTTTTCTATTTCATAATTTATTACAAATGTAATAAGGTTCGGCTGGAAGCTGTGGCTCACTCCTGTAATCCTAGCACTCTGGGAGGCCGAAGTGGGTGGATTGCTCGAGGTCAGGAGTTCGAAACCAGCCTGAGCAAAAGCGAGACCCTATCTCTACTATAAATAGAAAGAAATTAATTGGCCAACTAATATAATCCACGGCACTCACTCTAGCCTGGGCAACTGAGTGAGAAGCCGGCTCAAAAAAACAACTGTCAACCACAGTGCAATGTTGGATCATGCAAGGTCCTCGGTTTCTTTTTTTTTTTAGAGACTGGTTCTCCTATGATGTTAAGGCTGGCTTAAACACTGAGCTCAAGTCATCTCCTACCTCAGCGTCCCAAACAGTAGCTGGAACTACAGGCATGTACCACTGTGTGTGGCTTTTTTTGCTCCTGGTTTCCTAAGAAAGGAATACTGCAGCAAAGCAGAAGCCAGTCTTGTTATTCTGCTACTTGCAAAGTAAATGTACAAACAAAGTCCTGCTTGACAGGCTTACAGTAATAATATTTCACCCAGATTAGCGCTTTAATCAACACAGTTACAGGTGCCCTGTGAAGCAAACACAAGATGAGAGGCAAGTCCTGGGGAGTGCGAGGAGACACCTGGGAGCGTCGTGCTTACCTTGTTTGCACACTGCTTACACTGCTTCTCATCCAGCAGTCACCTGCCACCTTGGCCAGGACAGGATCCAGGGGGTTATCCTTCAGGTCTAGCCACTTCAGTTCTAAAGAGATGGGCAAAGAGCTGGCTAAGCCCGAGCTCACATATACAGTCCCTCAAGGTGGAACAAAACGAGCAGGGAAAAGCTCCTCTGTGTTCCACCTACAGGGAAGCATCTAAGGCAGGACAAAAGGAGGTATTCCTGTCAGCCTTTCCATGCCATGCTCCATCGATCCTCAAGGTCTTTGCCATACTGGCCATGAAACACTGGTTTATGAATGGTTACCTTGAGTTGAGCAAAGCTGACAGGTAGGGTGACCAGCCTGTTCTTGAGAAGATCCAAGTGCTGGAGGTTTACCAGACGCGCCAAGTCTGCTGGCAGCTGCTGCAGCTTGTTCTTACTCAGTCTAGCTTCACCAGGGTGTGTAGGCCCACAGAAATCCGACTAGGACCCAAAGAGAGAACACTTAAACTTGGGCTCACCACATTTTGGTGTAACAGTTTTGGGAGCCCCCAAGTCAGAGGTTCCTCTATAACAAATCCTAACTTTTCCTTTACCAGCTCTTCAAATGAAAATGGAGAGAACGCCTGCCACTCCTGGTGCTGGTTACCGAGATGTGCACATACAAGGGCTTAGTACAGAGCAGGCACAAGTACATGTGTATTCCTTCGTTCTCAGCTCTCCTCCATCCTGTCTTCACAGTGCTCCTGGAGTGGTTAGGGACCACTCTGTCTCTTATGGTACCCTATGCTCACCTTCCATAAGATCTGTCAAAACAGTGTACCTGGCCTGAGCAGTGGCTCACGCCCATAATCTAGCACTCTGGGAGCAAGGTGGCAGATTGCTCGAGGTCAGAGTTCGAAACCACCCTGAACAAGAGCTAGACCCGTCTCCACTATAAAGAAATTAATTGGCCATTAATATATATATGGAAAAAATTAGCCAGGCATGGTGGCGCATGCCTGTATCCCAGCTACTCAGGAGGCTGAGGCAGCAGGATTGCTTGAGCCAAGGAGTTTGAGGTCGCTGTGAGCTAGCT